CAACCGGCGGTATCATTCCCGTGCTTTTTGTTGTCCGAGGGTACGTGACCTCGGGAGCATGGGCGGTCTGTTGCCACTGCGGCTGCACTTGCAGTGATTTCCCATAGTGCTGAGCGGTGTTGTTGGTGGTATCCCGCGCAGCTTGAGATCTGGCCCCGTGCCGCTGTCCTCGGTAAGTACACATCGTCTGCGCAAGTCTTGCAGTGATGCCAAATTATGGTTCTCTGAGGGACGTTCTCACACTTCAGCTGGTGTGCTTGCCGCATCCCCTGCGATGATTCGTTGAAGATTAATAATCGCAGTGTGGTGCCACGGCTGTCTGGGGGAAGTCAGCTCGTCTTGCCTGGCCGCATGTGCTCTCGAGGGCTCGCGAGGCTGTCGGGGGCAGTCGCGCCTTGCCAGACAGCTGGTTTCTTTTGGTAAGCCGCTGGCCCGCACAGTGAGGATGATTTGCATTGCTGAGCAGGAGGTGTCGTGCTCTGTGTCGATACTCCAACGACCGTCGGTATCGTACCCGTGCTTACTGTTGTCTTCGCCACTTTTACATATGTGCGTATTGTTGGCAGGGCGGGTCGTCAAAGAATTGTGGAATTGCGGGCCAGGTAATTTGGCAGCATATGCAGCGACATCTCAGAGTGCTTAGCGATGTGGTTGATCTCGTCTTCACAATTTGCGATATGGCGTTGTGGTCGCGTCTCTCTTAATACATCTCGTCTGCGCAATTCTTGCAGTGGTGTGATGTTCTGCTTCTATCGACGCTCGCACACTTGAGCTGGTTTCCTTGCCGCATCCCCTGCGATGATTCGTTGAAGATTAATAATCGCAGTGTGGTGCCAAGGCTGCCCTGGGGAAGTGAGCTCGTCTTTCCTGGCCGCCTGTGTTCTCGAGGGCTCGCGAGGCTGTCGGGGGCAGTCGTGCCTTGCCAGACAGCTGTGTCCTTTGGTAAGCCGCTGGCCCGCACAGTGAGGATAGCTGGCATTGCTGAGCAAGGGGCGTCGTGCTACTTGTCATGTCTCGATCAACTGCCAGCAGCGTGCCCGTACTTACTGCTGTCAGCGGGCACGTGACCGTGGAAGCATGGATGGTTGGTTGTTTTTCTGGTTGCACTTGCAGTGATATCGCAAAGGTCGTTGATCTCATCTCGCGCAGCTTGAGACCTGACTCTGTGTCGCCATCCTCGGAAAGGGCATGTTTGTTCGGAGCAAGTATTGCAGTGATGCCATTTTCTGGTTCGCTGAGTCATGTTCGCACACATCAGCTGGTTTGCTTGGCGCATCCCCTGCGATGACTCGTTGAAGATTAATAATTGCGTGTGGTGCCAAGGCTGCCTCAGGGGAGTCAGCTCGTGTTGCCTGGCCGCCTGTGTTCTCGAGGGCTCGCGAGGCTGTCGGCGGCAGGCGTGCCGTGCCAGAGAGCTGTGTTCTGTTGGTAAGCCGCTGGCCCGCACAGTGAGGACAACTTGCATTGCTGACAGCGGGCACGTGACCGTGGAAGCATGGGTGGTCTGGTGTCTTCGCGGTTGCACTTGCAGTGATATTTGAGAGGGTCGAGCAATGTTGCTGATCTCTTCTCGCGCAGCTCGAGATCTGACTCCGTGTCGCTAATTATGGTGTCATCAGCAAGTACATCTCGTCTGCGCAATTCTTGGGTTGCTTGCCGCGTCCCCTGCGACGATTCGTTAACGGTTAATAATCGCAGTGTGGTGCCAAGGCTGCACGGGGGAAGTCAGTTCGTCTTGCTTGGCCACCTGTGTTCTCGAGGGCTCGCGCGGCAGTTGGGGGCAGTCGCGCTTCGCCAGACAGCTGTTTCATGTTGGTAATCCACAGGCCCGCACAGTGAGGACGCTTTGCATTGCTGAGCAGGAGGTGTCGTGCTACGTGTCCTTACTCTAACAACTACCCGTGTCGTACCCGTGTTTTCTATTTTCAGCGGGCACATGACGTCGGGAGCAGGGGTGGTCGATTGTATTTGACGATCCCATCTCACACATGTGGAACTCCGGCCCCGAGGCCCTGGGGCCTCCTTTGCAAGGGATTCCCAGACTCAGTAAGTGTCCCTCCTCGCTTGGAGCCTCCCTGGTGCCTCGCCTGTGCACCCCTGGGAGGCCCCAAGAGTCCCAAGACGGCTTCGGCGCCCACCTACAAGTCATAAGATAAAGCCCTACGCGTTTGCAAGAGAGCCCAAGACGGCCCAAAAGGGCCCAGGAAGCTCAGCGACGATCCGTAGGTTTCCCCAAGAAGCCACATGGGGGCCGCAAGAGGACCACCAGGCCGCCGGAATCGGTTTCCTCATCGAGTGAGATTTTTTTCGTATGATTATATGATTGCATGTTTCGATTAACTGTGATCTCAAGGGATCATCGATGCACCCGAAGGGCGCCCAACAGGCACCGCCCGAGTAGAGAGTGGGGGGGGTGGGGAGGAGGTGGGGGGGGGGCATTCGCGAGCCCGCTAGTGTCCTGATTGGTGGGCGTTATCGAGTAGAACACCTGTTTTGCTGGGCCGCTATCCCTTCAGAGCCTCATGGTAACCGCGCGCTAGCGGGCATTGCACTCGGGCCTCCCAAAGGGGAAGCCACCTGGGTGTACTCCACGGACCCGTTCGCGTCCAGATTGATGGGACTTCTCGAGCAGAACGCTTGCTTGGGGAAGTCCAGTCGGACCGAGGTGGAAGGTCGACATCGGTTCGGGAGGGTACCCTGAGATTCTTCGTGTCTGCTGGATGCTCTGGTGCATCCTGGCGGGGGGTGCTCTCGAATGTGGTTCAGTTTGGCCTGCGGAGGGTCTCATGCTCTTGAAGGATGTTCTTCTGTCCTGAGTCTGGCTGTACTCTCGTCTCTCTCTGGAGCATCACCGCGCGCCAGCTTGTATCGCGCTCGGGCCTCCCAAAAGAGATGCCAGCAGGGGATCGGTTCACGGGCCCGTCCTCGACCAGATGGTGGGGATCCTTTTGCGGAGCACCCGTCTCGGGAGATGTACCAAGTTGTATTGACAGTGCACGCCGGTCGTTGAAAGCAGGTAGTTTGGGATTCCCAGATCCCAGTCTATTTCTAGCGCCTCCCTATTTCAAGGATCGATGAACATCGGCATGCTTTTGCTGTGGTTTGCTATTATCTAAAAGGGCCTGGACCCGATCTACTTCATCTGCCTTCCTACTTAATGTTTCTACCCACTTCTTCCAACCGACGTGTAAGATGACACTTTCGCGCTCCCTCGGGTGGGGGGTCCTAGGACGCTCTGGGATCGCTCCCAAGGCGCACCCATGCGCTCCGTAACCCAGGCGTTTGGCTTCGAACACAGCGGTTTGTGTGTGTATTCGAGCACGGTCCCCCTTCCGCGTTAGACGCCAGGCTCCAAGAGTGATAGAACTTGGACTTGAGCACGAACGAAGTGCACGCGATGGTTTCAGTGCAAACCACCGCAGATGGCGGCACCGTCGAAGTCGGTTGCACTCTCTGCGCTGCAGTGCTCCCTCGCGCGAGTGTTGGCAGGAGGGGCAACAGGGGGTAGCAGCATCTTGGGGAAAAGGATCATCAGTATGAGCAGGAGGTATAGCAGGAGGACGATGAGGAGCAGGGAGGAGGAGGAGGAGCAGCAGGAGCAGGAGCAGGAGGAGGAGCAAGGAGGAGGAGGAGGCGGAGGAGGAGGAGGAGAAGGAGGAGCCGGAGCAGGAACCGCATGCTAACATGGTCATAGTCACAAATGGGAACTTAATGGTATTCAGGAGCCGCAGCAGCAGCAGTGGGGGCAGGATAGCTGGGAGCGGTACGAGTACGATGAGGAGAAGGAGGACACCGATGTCGGGAAAGATGCGCAAGAGGGGCACGTATGGGGAAGAGGATGAAGAGGAGCAGGAACAGGAGCTGGAGCAGGAGGAGGAGGAGGACGGAGAGGCGGAGCATGAGGACGGCAAGGAGGAGGAGGGGGAGCGGGAGGAGGACAAAGTTGAAGACGAGGACGAGCGGGAGGGAATTTGGCTGTGCCATCGGTTCGACCAGGGTGAGTAGGACAGGGACGTGGAGGGAGAGGAGAGGGAGGAGGAGGAAGAGGAGAAGGAGGAGGAGGATATTCAAGAAGAGGGATAGCATAAGGAGCATGGGTAGGAGGAGCAGGATGAGCAGGATGGGGAAGAGAAAGAGGTGGAGACGGAGAAGGCAGAGGCAGAGGAAGAGGCAGAGGCAGAGGAAGAGGAGGGGGAGGAGGAGGAGGAGGAGGAGGAGGAGGAGGAGGAGGAGGAGGATACTCAAACGGAGGGATAGCAGAAGGAGTGTGGGCAGGAGGAGCAGGATGAGCAGGATGAGGAAGAGAGAGAGAGGTGGAGACGGAGAAAGCAGAGGAAGAGGAAAACGAGGACGAGGAGACACAGCAGGACGAGTAGGAAGACGATGGAGAAGAGCAGGAGAAGGAGGCGGAGAAGGAGGAGGAGGAGGAGGAGACGGAATTGGATGAGGCGAACACGAGGATCGGATTGTTGCATGTTCGATGAAGAGGAGCATCAGGGATATCATGATAAGGGGAAGCAGGAGGAGGAGGAGCAGGAGGAGGAAGAGGAGAAGGAGAGAGACGAGGAGGCTGGACAAAAGCAGGAGGACTTTGTGGACGCGTTGTTTCGCAAGTTCTGGTCTACTCAAAGAAGCGCCACCGAGACCGATGCGTACCCAGTAGCGGGTGTTTGGGCAGCGCGCGGGGATGCGGCAGGAAAGTGGCAGGTGAGCGTTTCTTCTCGCGCGGGACGGTGGAGGAGGATGGCAGGAAAGATCAGGAAAGCGCCATATTCTTGCACCGGCCATGGTCCCCGTCTATTGAGTACCTGTCAGAGTGTCACCGAGATCTCTTGCAGCTCGTCCAGGATGTTCTGTCCGCCGCCGCCGTCGTCGTGATGGTCGTCGTCGCCGTCGCCGTCGCCGTCGTCGTCGTCGTCGTGATCGTCGTCGTCGTCGGTCGCGACGTCGTCTTGCAGCTGTCCAGGAGCTTTTCCTCTGCGCACGCTGCCCCCACGGAGGCGTTCACGCCGCAGAACTGCTCCAACCTCGTCTGGGGTTTTGCCACGCTGCGCATCGGAGGGGCTCGGGGGGCTGGGCCAGACATGGGTCAGACAGGGCCCACCTCGATCCGATCTATCCAGATCGATTCTGGCCGACTCGACCGATTCGATCCCATCGGAATCGAGTATTGGTTTGCCATGCGCAGTTCTCGGGTGACCCGCCCGTTGGTGGGTCACCAGTGTGGGGAGCGCGTCATATTGGAAACGCAATGCGAGGCTATGCATCGCCTCATGTGAAGGCCCAGAATGCAAGTGAGCCGTTTAAGTTTCCCACCCAGTTTTCGGTTGAGCCTTCCTTGTGTAAGTCATTCGTCAGACGAGCGCGCCTCGACGGCCTTGACCGTCAGCTCTGTGTGGCTTACCTTTTCAGCCTTCTCCATGGCCTCAGCACCAGCATTAGCCCAAACCCCAGGCAGAGCCTCATCCTGTCCCCCAGCCCCCCTAGCCCTAGCCGCAGCCCTAGGCCTGAGCCCGAGCCTCCGCCACCCTCAGCCCCTGGCTCCAAGCCCTAACCTCGGCCATACCCCTCAATCCTCGCCTCAGCCTTGGGCCCGTTCCCTAGCCCTTGCTTCAGCCCTACGGGCCTGTCCCTCGCCTCGGACTGCAGTCCTGGCCGCGGCGTCAGCCCCAGCCTCTGCCCTAGCCCCAGCCATCGCTTACGTGTGGTCGTTTTGTTGGACGTTTCGTTTTTCTTTCTTGCTTTGATGAAGAAGCGAGGGCCTAGGGCGGAGGGTTAGGTCTGAGGTTTGCCCTTCAGCCATGCTCATGGCCTCAGCACTCCTCTGCCCTTGGGCTCGTGCCCTAGCCCTTACCTCGACCCTACAACACTTTTCCTAGCCTCGGCCTTGCAGCATACCCCCCAGTCCTCTGCCCTGGCCGCAGCAGTGCTTACAGGTCGTCGTTTCGTGCTTCGTTCCGAGCTTTTGTTTGGGAAGTTGAGTTCGTTTGTGTTGTGGGTGTGTCGCTGAATCGGTGGCCTCGTTTCGTTCATCGCTTTCGTATGGCAACGGTCTCGCTTTCAACGCGAATTTCTCACTCTGGTGTCGTTCTCGTTTTTAATACAGCTTCGCTCTCAGCAACTTACTAGTGGCTCGGCCCATGAATTCCGACAGTCCGACGATCCGATGTGGCCCGATGTTTGCGTGGCGTTGTTGCGCAGCATGGAGCAACTGATCCGATTCGACGTCGACGCCGTGCCAATGCAGCCCGATCCGACGCGCGTTCCGATTCGATTCGCTTTCCCGATTCGATGCTGACTGACCCTTGGCATCCGGGGAGGAGGAAAGAAGTGGACGCTGGGGGAGAAGGGAGGGGGGCAGGGTTCCCCGTCCTGATCCTCCTGCTTCCACACGTCAGGCACGGGTCGGGGCCATTTGGGGGGAAAGGAGGTGGCGGGTTCGCAACCGTGATCCTGGGATTTGTCCACGCCCCCCTTTTAGGGCGGAGTGGGCGTGCTGGGGGCTTGGTGGGTTCCTCCTGGTGGACTTCGGGGGCAGTCTTGCTGAATATCTGGGTTCCCAGCCGCGCTTCCCAGACATCGGGCACGGTCACGAGAGAAGCTCATGGGAGCCCGCGGGAGCGATTGGAAACACCCGTGGCCCTTTCGAGAATCCTCGAAAACTGTTCATGCCCAGCTGCCCTCAGAAGACCCTGCCACCGTGGCAGCGCAGCAGCGAAATGCATGCTGGGTGGTTCTGCCGACGTCTCCGAACAGGCTCGGCGGAACCATGTTGGGGCCGTCTGAGGAGCGAGTGTACGGTGCCGTAGCGTGGCGCAGCCGTGTCATTGCATGTTTTCTGCGTTGCGCTTGGGGGTGTCAGGGGCTTCGTGGAGGTCTTTGGGGGGGTTCTTTGATGCCTCTTGGAGCCCTCGTGGGGGCCTGTCGGCTCCAATTGTCAATTCGAGGTTCCCCTCTTGAGCTCCTCTGGAAGGCCTCCGCGGCCATCTCGGGGCTCTCTTGGGGGACTGGGGCAATCTTGGACACTCTTAAGACCGAAATGCCGAGTACGCAAGAATAACGTGTGCGTGTGTGCGTGTGTGCGTGTGCGTGTGTGTGCGTGTGTGTGTGTGTGTGTGTGTGTGTGTGTGTGTGTGTGTGTGTGTGTGTGTGCGTGCGTGCGTGTGTGTGCGTGTGTGCGTGTGTGCGTGTGTGCGTGTGTGTGTGCGTGTGTGTGTGTGCGCGTGTGTGTGTGTGTGTGTGTGTGTGTGTGCGTGTGTGTGCGTGTGTGTGTGTGTGTGTGTGTGTGTGTGCGTGTGTGTGCGTGTGTGTGTGTGTGCGTGTGTGTGTGCGTGTGTGTGTGCGTGTGTGTGCGTGTGTGCGTGTGTGCGTGCGTGCGTGCGTGCGCGTGTGCGTGCGCGTCTGCGTGCGCGTGTGCGTGCGAGTGCGCGTGCGCGTGTGCGTGCGCGTGTGCGTGCGCGTGTGCGTGCGCGTGTGCGTGCGCGTGTGCGTGCGCGTGTGCGTGCGCGTGAGCGTGCGCGTGTGCGTGCGCGTGTGCGTGCGCGTGTGCGTGCGCGTGTGCGTGCGCGTGTGCGTGCGCGTGTCCGTGCGCGTGTGCGTGCGCGTGCGCGTGCGTGCGTGTGCGTGCGTGCGCGTGCGCGCGCGTGCGTGTGCGTGCGTGTGCGTGCGTGTGCGTGCGTGTGCGTGCGTGTGCGTGCGTGTGCGTGCGTGTGCGTGCGTGTGCGTGCGTGTGCGTGCGTGTGCGTGCGTGTGCGTGCGTGTGCGTGCGTGCGTGCGTGCGTGCGTGCGTGCGTCGCGTATGTCGCGTATGTCGCGTGTGTCTCTGTGTGTCTCTTTGTGTCTCTGTGTGTCTCTGTGTGTCTCTGTGTGTCTCTGTGTGTCTCTGTGTGCCTCTGTGCGTCTCTGCGTGGCTCTGTGTGGCTCTGTGTGTCTCTGTGCGTCTCTGTGTGTCTGTGTGTCTCTGTGTGTCTCTGTGTGTCTCTGTGTGTCTCTGTGTGTCTCTGTGTGTCTCTGTGTGTCTCTGTGTGTCTCTGTGTGTCTCTGTGTGTCTCTGTGTATCTCTGTGTCTCTGTGTAGATCTGTGTGTCTCTGTGTGTGTCTGTGTGTCTCTGTGTGTCTCTGTGTGTCTGTGTGTGTGCCTGTGTGTGTGTCTCTGTGTGTCTGTGTGTGTGTCTGTGTGTGTCTGTGTGTGTCTGTGTGTGGCTGTGTGTGGCTGTGTGTGTGTGTGTCGGTGTGTGTCTGTGTGTGTGTTGCCAGCGTGGACCCCAACCAGTAGTTTCTTGCACTCCGTAGCCAGTTTGGCTCGAGCCACCTCGGCCGAGCCATGTTTCGGCGGCACTTATGTAGAGCATGGCTGCACGCTCGTTTGCAAGGCATCAAACACTAGACCTTGGTTTTCATCGGGCGGCCCGCAAATTGCGTGCACGTTGCCAATGGGTTTGCTGTTTGCGCCATGGGGCAGTCAGACATGCTTCAGTTGCGCTCGTGCCTCATCTTCTCGAATGGGCTCCACATTATGTACAACATCTTGTTAAGTCCGTCGCAGCTGGTGCCAATCGCATGGGGCTGCCTCTTCGTCACAGGGCACTCTTTCCAGATAGGAAGGATATTTCGCGAACGACAACTAGTGGATGTTCCCCACGATTTCGCAGCCATTTACGACATGGCGTTGGAGCCCTGGGGATGGAACACGAGGCAATTTTTCAAGCTTATCGATGGCATCACCGTTTGCACTTATCGCTGCACAAGGGCGACTAATTGGCGATGCAGGGGCAGGATGTGGACGTCATACACTACCTGCAGGAAGGAAAACTCGCCGTGGAGCAGGACGGCGTTCCTGCTGAACGTGATCAACGCAGGGCCAGGCGGCTGGGCGGGGGAAGTCTGGGGCCCGCGGTACGACTGGGTCGGCCGTGTCCCCTTCAGGGGCGTCGACCAATGTAAGACGATTTGCTTTCCGAAGCAAGAGTTTCACGACGCCATACGTGAGCAAGGGCACCCCAGTGAGCTGGCAGCAGCCAAGATGCAGATTCACGACCTCCGCACCAAGCTGCACGTCCAGCGGTCCCACGAGCACGCCCAGATCTACCAGATGATGCCGATGATATTCACAGCCGATGGAAACCTGTCGGCAGGTGACAGGGCATTGCTGGACGAGCACAGGCGTTTGCATCCAGAGTCGATCTCCCAAACTGACCATCTGCGCAGCCTGGAAAACGTGGGCTGGACTCCGGAGGAGTACGCCCAGGGCTGTCTGCGCGAGTTGGGCTGGAGCCTGGAGGTCTCGGGGGACTGGCTCGTCAGGCGCCGGGGGAACGAGTGCCTGCCGCTACGCCAGCTCTGACTCAACGAGGGCCGGCCGATCGAAGAGGCGGTATCGAGGAGACTAAGCAGCAGGGAAGCAGCCTCTTCGCTGAGAGGTCTTCGACGAGCATGTCAGATGCTTCTCTGTGGGCATCTGGCTCGGGCCAGTGGTGAGACAGCGGGTGCGCCGCACGAGGCATGGTCGATCTTGCGCGTGAGCCGCGCCCTCGCATAGATCGAGCTGCAGGTCACCGCGCAGGCGTGCCGTGGCTCGCTGCCAGTTGGGTACGGTGGAGGCTCCGCGCGGACCCGCGGGGCTTTGCCAGGCGGTCTGGGGCCGGGCGGAAGCCCAGCCGAGCCAAGGCGAAGACAGTTTTTGACCGCGGGCACCAGCGGGCAGAGAGCCAGCGCAGGTGTTGGTCAGCGTCCGAGGCGGAAGACAGACAGGGAGCCGAGCCTCCGTGCCCGAAGGCTCACCGCCGCGGTGGTGGGGAGGCGACTTCCTGTCCGTGCGACGCGGAGGTCGGCGTGCGACGGGCAGGTTGGTGTTGCCGCCGGAGACGCGGAGAGGGGGATTCTGATGCGTGCGACGTGGACGCCGACATGGAAAGCGGGCGGCCGCGCACACAAAGGAGTCACAGGGATACCTCGAGGCCACGAATGGCGACGAGTAGCTCAAGAAGGTTTCGGCGCGTGTGTGTGTGTGTGAATGCTCAAATGCAGAGAACTCGAAGGGACCTGAGGACGCTCCATTCAGTGCCTCACGGCATGGTGGCGGATACGAGCGGCGTCATCCCTAGGCTCGAGGTCAGAGTTGCCGTCGACGCCATCGATATCCGAGTGCATTGCCGCTTGCCGTCATCCATGGTGCCGTCGCTTACATTGTCGTCGTGGTCATGTTGCCCAGTGTCGGAGTTATCAGTGTTGTCAGCAGCGGTGCTGTGCTGGTGGCTTAGCTCTTGGGTAGTTCACGATGAGTCGTAGCGTGCATCCGTCGTTTGACATGCTGTAAGATCTGCAGCTGTGAGTGCAGAAGAGATGCAGCTGCACATGGCAGTTGGCCGCACTGCTTCGGTGAGCAGCCTGAACTTATCAGACTTTCGCGGAGCTGCTTGAACCTGCGCCACGATGCGATCCTGCTGGAGAGCTCGTAGTGGTGAAAGTCGTGGAAGGTCAGCTTTCGACCGAGGCAATTATTATTTTGTGCACCACTTGGGATATCGACCTGGTCGACGTCCTGGCTGGCATGCGTGATGGTTCGCCGCTGGTGTCAAT